GAGAGAGAGAGAGAGAGAATAGAAAGAGACATTGGAGAACAGTGCAGACATAAGATTATGCATACGCCTCTGAGTGTATTGTTGTCATAATGTACAGTGTATTATACGAGTGTGCTCCTCCTTTGAGTATATTGTTGTTATAATGTTTTGTGCGAGTGTGCACCTCCTCTGATTGTATTGTTGTCATAATGTACTGTGTATTGTACGAGTGTCCTCCTAGCTCATCTTTCAGTATCAATCTTCTTCCTTCCGTGTATTCCCTGAACACCGGTGCCTGGGACGTAATGGTTAGGCTCTCTATACCGCTGCACGTCAGAGAAGCGAGTTCGGGAAATAGGCGAATAGCATCTAAATTAAGCTGTTTTAGTTTAGTACGGGGTTTTACGGCGCTCGCAACTGCATAAGGTCATATGAGGGCTCAAAACAATTTTAGCTGTGGACTTCACTATGGGGGTAAATAACATTGCAACAAAGTAAGACGATTTTGGTGTCGCTGGAACCAGAAAACCGTCCTCTATAACATAGTGTGCGAAAAATCGGCAGGAATTGGAAAGGAAGAAATTGGTTAAAACTGCGGTTGAATATATACAATTAATGACATAGTATCGAAACGGCAAGTCTATTTGTCTAGTGTCTTTTTTCGGTAGAGTTTTACGGCACTTACATACAACACAGATAAGCCAAATAAGTGCGAAACGACGAGAGATAAGGACGATATAGATGTTTGTGACAGCAGAGAAGGAGCACACCTCACCAGAACACCCGCCAACCACCCACTGACTAGCATCTATGTCTTCCTCATGGGAAATATTATAACCTCGCTCTGTCCGGGTTTCCTTTCTTTGACCAGGTCGCAGCAGGTGGCCTCCTAAATGATCAAAAACTTGTGGCGACGGGGCCCACAGCATTCACAATCAATCGACCAATTCGCTGAAGGCGAGATGTTTTTTTTTATCAGATCAATCCGACCGTCTACATTTTCTTTTGAATGTGGGTTATTGTCGGTCACTGGCGATAGGATAACTGTAGGCCACCACCAAAGACATGGAAGCGGATCTTGTTTGTTTGTTGTATTTGTTTGTTTGTTTGTTTGTTTGTTTGTTTGTTTGTTTGTTTGTTTGTTTGAGTAAAGAGAAGCACATTGATCCAATAATGTTCATTTAGTAATGGGAAAATGTAAGACAGACATATTCAAGCACACGGACACAGACAGACAGACAGACAGACAGACAGACAGACAGACAGACAGACAGACAGACAGACGCAGAAGAAGGAAAGTACATGTTAGAGGTTCTGACAGAAGGTATTGTAATTGTATAGGGTGAGAAAGTTGACAGTCCCAAGCCTTGATGCATCCCCACACGATCGCCGAAATAAAGAAATAAAAATTACTACTTCAAATCAAAACAAAATAAAATTATACTAACCAACCCCCCCCCAAAAAAAAACAACAAAAACAACCCCCACCCCCAAACAAATTACACAAAAACAGAATCCCTTTGCGATCAAAAGTTGTGTTCATTCTACTTATGCTAGATTTTTAATTCGGATTAAAGTCTCGAAGACATTTCAGACACTGATTCTGAATTAATTTGGTTCGCAGTGTTCAGACATTGTATAATACTATAGACACCAGCAATTGATGAAAAAGCCTACATGATTGTGTTTTCTGTGGTCTGGAAGCAGTGATATTATTTCTGTATGTGTTTTTGAAAAAAACAAAAAGCAAAGAGAGGGTCTGAGCGAAGTTGAACGTCCCGAATGGGGACAGCACAAATGTAGTTCTGAAGGGTGAAGCTCTAGAATAGAAATTAATTGTGAAAACTACTAATAGACCGTGAAACAAGTTTAACCAAAATAAAAGCAATAAAATTTGAAGAATATTATGTAACTGGCACATTGAACGACAGACTTCTAAAACGAAATATACTGCAAAATAAAGAAGCAACACTAGCAGGACTCAACAAAGCAAAAACATCTCACAAAAGAGCAGCAACAGCAGCAGCAACAACAGCAGCAGCAGCAACAGAAGCAGCAGCAGCAGCAGCAGAAGAAGAAGAAGAAGAAGAAGAAGAAGAAGAAGAAGAAGAAGAAGAAGAAGATGAACACCACCATCACCACCACCAACAACAACAACAACAATGGTTACTGGTAGCAATAGCTGAGGCAACAGCAACAACAACGACAACAGCAACAACCCCCGAATTAGCATCAGTAACAACAATACCAGTACACAGCAAGGTCAGGGACTTCAGACTGTATTACAGAACTTATTCCACAAAAAGAAAAGAGCACCGTTTATCAACTTACCGTAACTTGGAAAATTCAAATTCTGGATGGAACTCCTCCCAAACGTATCACGGACCAGTAGATCCACACAGAATCACGTCACACTCATCCGCTACTCGGCTGGAAAGATTAATAGGACAAAAAACCTGTCCTCTTGAAAGTTTCCGGTTTGTTAGATACGCTCCTTGGCACATACACGTTTGTGTACACACACATATTAAGTTCTCCCGCGCACCTTTCTACAAACCAGATAACGGTCCAGGGCGTTGCCTTCATTTAGCTGGGGGTATACATTTCTCCACGACCTTAGTCGCCTCGCGGTGTCACATAAAAATAAGCGCAGTCTTTTCTTTACATTGGCTTAATATGATTTTTCTTTTTGTTCTATAAATTCAGACTCTTTCACCTCTTGATTTGACTTTTGTTTTGCTTATAATGTTTGATTTAACAACTTGTTTCACTCAGAAAGGGATCGGTATTTTATATATCCGCATTCTCCCACACCTCTCGCTCATAGCCCAGAGGAAGTTAATTTGATGTTTCAGAAAGTGCCGTGAAGAAAACTGTAGAAACAAGAAGCAGGAGTGTAATGATATTATCCGCGGAGCATAGGGTGAGAATGCCCCGCTGGGGTGGCGCCCTGTAAATCTGGTTTAATGACTGTCTTTCCGCTTTCTTTCACGCCGATCGACCTCTCCCTCTCGTCCTGGGCTGCACTTAAGATCTTGTCCTCACAAATCAGTCCGTCCGAATCACAGCGCTGTTGAGAGAAAGACCGACGCAGGCAAATACATACACGCATAATATTCCCACCTCAGTTACTCCTGGACGTATTGTTGAGATCGACTGAGCTTGCTTGGAGCGAGCGCCCCACCACCACACTACCACCACCACTAAGCGCGGGTTTGTCCACAGTACAGCGAACAGACGTGAGACTCCTTCCCGCGTGGTGAGAGATTTTTTTCTTCTCTCTTCTACTTCTTCTTCCCTCGTTCTTCCCCCGACCGTTACGTTGCCGGTAAAAGAAAGACGACAGCAGGTCCCGGGATGTCAGGAGCCATTTTTATTTGAAAAGGTGCTTTGTGACAACTCAGGTGTGAGATGTGGGCAAAGATAACGTCTTACTTCAAAGTTTGATTTGAATGCATTTTGTAAATACATTTGCCGCCAGTTTTTTAATTTAGAGGGATATTACATTTTGACCCGCGTGCTTTTGCAAATTAAATCTCCCTGCTTTTAATGATTTTTCCCCTTCTGGCATACAGTTTAAATACACAAC